TGGCGGGATTTAAAGGATGGTCGTTTAAGAGAAAACATTCAAAGCTAGAGTTCTGCTCTGCTCTAAACTAATGACTTTTTAACAATAAACTAATTCAACATCAGTTTATTCATTTATTACTTATCAGAGAAAGTAGGACATTTGTGTTACTTTAGTCAAATGTCAGTCAAATAATCAAATTAGGGCTGTCAGTTTTAAAGCGTTATTAACACGTTAACTGCTTTAGACTATAACGCCGACATTTTTTTTTTTTTTTTTTTAACAGTGTCCTGTCTAGCAAGGTGGCAATAAGAATAATTGTCTTGTTGCCAAAAGGAGCCCAACAGATTTTACTTTCACAAGTGTAGCGGTATCGCAATTGCCATACTGCTCCACTTGTTTCATGTATATAAATTGCTTTATTATAATTATGCAGGGAGTTTTACAGTTCATATGGACACTGCAATGTAAGTAGAGCAGAAAAACAGAAGAAGAAGAAGGAAAAAGAAAAAGAAAAAAAAACAGGACAAAAGATGAAAGAAAGAGGAGATAGGAAGGAGACAATGACAAAACATTTTCAGTCTGCTTCAACACCTGTAATGAGATGGAAAAAAAAAAAAAAAAAAAAAAAGAACAGCACAACCAAAAGACATGGTACGAGACATACAATAAAGCAAACACCTTGAAACTATCGCTAAAGTAATATTATTAAGTCTGACATGTACTCTGTGTTACCTGAAGATATGAATGTGGGGTTTCTGTTTGGAAGTGAATCTCTAAGTACCTGAAGCCTAGCACCTGTAGTTGTTTGTGAGGGTGAACTTGTGCATGTAAAGTTTAACCATAGAAAAAATGCTCAATAGTGGTTGTGGAGAGCCGGAGAGGCACACCCCCCAGAGCACTGAGTCCAGCGCCGGGAGACCCAAAGCCCCAAGCACCCAAGGGGACCCCAGAAGCGAAGGCACCAAGGCGGGGCCAGCCCCGGAAATCAGACCCCCACCAAGGCAGGAGGAGAGACAGCCACGAAGAAGCCCCCCAGCCACCGCCATGCCGGCGCCCCGGGGAGCCGCGGGGACGAGTCCGCGGGCCCCGCCGGCAGCCAGCCACCCCGAAGTAGGGCCGGGCACCGAACACCAGACCCCCCACGGCGCCGACCGAAACGCCCCAGCCCCACAGAGCACCGAAACACGCCCCGCCCCCCAGCACCAAGCCCCGGCGACCGGCCGCAACACCCACCGCGACCGCACCACCCAGGAAAAACACTCAGGTGGCCCCGCCCCCGGCCGGGGCCCATGCGCATCCGCCGCGAACCGGCCGCGAGCGCCGCGGGACCCCTCCAAAACGCCCCCCCGGCCAAAAGCGCAGCCCCACCCCACCGAGACCGATGCCAACAGCGCGCAACGAAACACACCGCGCACAGAATCAGCCCGAGAGCGGAAAAGCCGCCCGGCGCAAAACCGCAAGAAGAGCAGACCGCAGCCGGCGCAACCACCCCCCCCAGCAGCCCGAGGGGCAGCACATTTTTTTTTAACGCACGTTAATCGTGCATCAAAACAAACGCACCGTGCGCTTTTGTTCTTTATTTTTCCGCAGTACTGTTTGTTTTACCCTCGGCGCTTTCCGTAGCTTCAGGAACGCTAAGTTTTGGGAGAGACCGCAGCATAACCCCAGGCTCACACAGACTCCGGTCTTACCGTTGCGGTGCGGTGGGTGCGGCGCCACAGTGATTCCAAGTCATTAAAAAGACGTAAACCTCTCTCACCAGCTGCCGAGCTGTCCGGCTGCGGTTACCGAGACACTCGGTTGCCGGAGCCCTCCGCAACAAGCTCTCGCAAATATCCTTATTTGGGCCGTGTTATCGCGTGAAGTTACGTGAACTCAAGTGAACTTCTGTTAAATCTCCGGACCTGTTGCCGGAGCCGCAGAGCCGCACCGCACCGTAGTCAAAAGGGCTGTGTGAGAGGGGGTGTGCGGGAGTTGCGGTCTCCGTCGGCTCGGTAACCGCACCGGAGCCAGTGTGAGCAAGGTGTAACAGACCCGTGCTTTGAATGAGCAAAAATGGCCAGCAGACAAGGTATCCTGAATGATAAGTTTCATTTTAAAGTTATCCCAGAAGGCTGTCTTGACAAAACCTGAGTCCAGAAGAAACGAGCGTCTCACTGGCTTAGTGCCAACAAGACAAAGAAATAAATTAAGTCATGTGGAATGCACTGCTGCTGCACTTCCTGTTCAGATCAAAGGAATATTAAAGGATTTTGAAAATGTTCTACATGTAAAATGTTATGTTGCTGAGATGACTGCAAAGCCCAGTTATTGTAAATTCGTTTGATTTATTTATTATTTTGTGAGTAACTTCATTTTATTTGAATTAAGTCTGAATTTCACGGAATGTGCACTTTATTTTAACATCTTTATTTTGTCCTATGTTTGAGAATAAACTTAATTTTATGGAGTTCTTTGAAGTACTGTTTACTGTTCTGTAGTTTTGTAATTTTTTACAGTTTTTGAATAATTATTGGCCGGAATTTAAACCAGGATATTTTTATTCTAGTTTTTTAAAAGTGCTTTAAAAAAATAATAATAAAAAAAAACTTATTGTATAAGCAAGTTTTTTTTTTTTTACATTATTGCACATTTGCATTTTTTAAATGCCCAAATAAAATAAATAAAATAAAAAGATAACATATGCGATTAATTTGCGATTAATCTTGAGTTAACTGTTGATATTATGCGATTAATCGCGATTAAAATTTTTAATAGTTTGACAGCACTAAATCAAATGTATACAAAGTTACCAGTATATTTGTATGAATGCCAACAACAAAAAACATTATAAAAACACTTTAGAAAAACAAAACATAATTTTATGTGTAGGTTTACTTTTAGTACATAAATCTTGCCCTTCTAATGCTTTATGAAGGTAATCTGTGTTTTGCACGGTCCAATATTGTGTGACAAACCTAAAGAAATTATGTGGCAGTTTAATAATGGAGAGACTATTAATCAGCTTTATACTTTTTTTAATATAAAAAAATATTTATTTTCTGATAATGTGTTTATTAAGAGGTTATTTTTGGTTGCAAATTAACAAAAATCTAGAAAAAGTAAACTATATTCCTTTTGCTTTTTCCAGCTCGGTCACTTTTAAAAAGAATGCAGGAAAAACAAAAAGGTGCATCAGCTGCCCCCACAGGCTGTTAGCCACGACTTACGCTGGAACCAACTCCTGCTAAAAGTCTGGTTGTAGGATTTAACTTTTTTTCGGTTCACTGCGTTAAATTTATTTCAGAATGTCAGGTCTCGGCTCCTTTACGTGGATTTTTTCCACCATCGTCCTTGTCGTGAAAGGTTAAAACTCAGTGAAGATCTCACTGAATTGCTTGAAAGCTGCTCTTCAAGTTCATCTGAGGTCGTCGCCATAATCTCTACTTCACTGCCTGACTGACTACTAGCTACATCAACCAAAGCCATTCATTTTGGCGCTGCTGATTGGCCAAATATTTATTTGGCCAATCAGCAGCGCTTTGAATGAGCGCCCAAGAAGAGAAATACTTTGTTCTTTCGGTGGAAATGCTTTGTTGAATGAGAGTTAATTGGTAGAAGTGTTGTTTTGATCATTTATATTACATGTAGCCACGTACTATTAGGTAGAACTGACATCCATAATACTTTTAAAATCTACATTTATTATTTATGGCTTTTCCCCTCCACATCTAGGGACAATAGCACCCTAGCGCCCCCTATGGGCCACCCGTCTCTAAATATAAAGTTAACATTTTAGCATCCTGGCTGGTGTTTTAACTGTATAGCAGACACACTTTTGTTTTCTGTTGGTTTAATTAGATTTTCAGCACTGAGTTTATAAAGTTGATGGTTCTTTAGTGTTTGGATTAGTTTGTTCTTTATTTGCCTTTCTGGAGTGGTAGATTCTCTTTAGGACAAAAATTATGACAATCAAATGATTATTTTAAACCTCGTCTGTTCCTGTTTGGCTGTGACTCCATCCTGGAGAGAAATATTAGCTGCGCTGCTATAGGCTTAGACTGCTGGAAGACATAGGGACCCCTTTTTCATCATTCTGCTTCATTCTATCTCTATTCTCCCACTCTGCAGAATCTGTTAGTTCAATCTCTAACGTTCTGCTCTCTCTGCTTTTTCTGGTCTGTTCCTGTTTGGCTGTGACTCCATCCTGGAGAGAAATATCAGCTGTGCTGCTGCCATCAACACCTTTGTTTCTAGATGTTGGAGATCTGCCTGTTTTTCAGTGTAGTCCTGTTTCTCTTACTGTGACTGACTGGATGTGCTCTCTTCATCCTCTGACATGGGAGCTGCCTTGGACCTTGTCTGCCTGGCTGCTCTTTCCTGGACGGGGCCGCCTGTGGAGCTGGTTGACAGTTGCCTTTTGTATCTATACTTCTTTTTCTATGTCTGCTTCTTTCTCCTTGAACCCCAGTGGGCCTCAGCAGATGGCCGCTCACACTGAGCCTGGTTCTGCTGGAGGTTTCTTCCTGTTCAAAGGGAGTTTTTCTCTCCACTGTCGCTACAAGCATGCTTAGTGTGAGGGATTGCTGAAGAGTCAATGAGTCGATGCAATCAGCTGTCCTAAAGAGAATTCATCTTTGTTCATTTTCTGAAACTCCTGCCGGTTCAAAACGTTGGTCAAATAAAAAGGTTAACATTTAACTTCAATGAGCTAAACCAGTGAAAATCCTAATTAAAACTACTAATAACAAGAAAAACGCTGTTTATTGGTGCGCCCGTAATGTTTAGTTTGGTTTTAACCAAAGTCTGTCAGCTGTAGTTCTTCTAAATGTCCTGAAGGTGGCGATGTATTAACTTTCAGCCCTGTTCTATAGTCTGAGGTTTTATTTTCTAATAATAATAAGCTGGTAGTTTAACCCTTTTTGTACCAGTAGTGACCACAGGGGGCGTTGCTTAGAATGAGTTTCTGAGCGTTTGATGCATCACGGTGTGTAGAACTGATGGATCCAGTCCCTTAAATCTCTCGTTTGTTTCCGCAGCTTTCACCATGATGATCATCTTGGCTCTGATCCGAATCGGGAAAGGCGCCGGAGAGGGCCGCCCTCCTGTCGCCAACCTCTCCGGCGTGCCCAACCTGTTCGGGGTGTGCGTCTACTCCTTCATGTGCCAGCACTCCCTGCCGTCGCTTGTGACGCCCATCTCGGATAAGAAGCGAGTCGGTACCCTGGTTCTGGCGGACTACGTCCTGATCCTGGGCTTCTACGTCCTGCTGTCGTTCACCGCCATCTTCTGCTTCGACAGCTCGCTGCTGCACGACATGTACACCCTGAACTTCACCGACAACTGCAACGTCTTGGACATCCCCGTGCTGCGCTACTTCCTGGGCCTGTTCCCGGTTTTCACCATCAGCACCAACTTCCCCATCATCGCCGTGACGCTCCGAAACAATTGGAAGACGCTCTTCCACCGGGACGGGGGCACCTACCCGTGGGTGGTGGACCGGATCGTGTTCCCCCTCATCACTCTGGTGCCGCCCGTCATTGTGGCTTTCTGCACGCACAACCTGGAGTCCCTGGTGGGCATCACGGGGTCGTACGCGGGGACAGGGATCCAGTACATCATCCCGGCGTTCCTGGTGTTTTACGCCAGACGCCACCTGGAGCCGGTGATGGGCAGAGACGCCGTCAACAAGCACCGCTCTCCTTTCCGCCACGCCTTCTGGGTGTGGTTTGTGGTGGCGTGGGCGGCCTCCTGCCTCATGTTTGTCACCGCAAACATTATCCTGACCGACACGAAGAAATGAGGACGGCTTTCATGAAACCCTGCGACTGTTCGGCCAGTTCCTCTGTTTTCTCGAGGCCTTATTGCTGCTGGATGGGACCGTGTGCCTTTAAAATAAAAATAAAAAACAGACTTTAGTTGCTTAAATTAAGTTTGATATTAATTTATCAGATTTTTAAAAAGGGACAAAATGTTTTTTGTTCTAAGTTGTGTTTTTTTTCAAAGGGATTTTTATTAAAATGATCTTTTCTCATCCTACAGCTTCCAGAGGCTCCTTGAATCAGACTAGTGGGCCGTTAGCCGGAGAGGAAAACACAGGGAAGCATCTAAAGGTTGCAGGATAGTAGCACCACCAATGTCTCAACCTGCTACCTCGAACCTTAGTGTTACATTTTCCAACGCACAAACTTCCCCTCCTCCTTTAAACAAAGCGGTCTGTGATTTAACCGACTATAGGGGGAAGATTCAGGATTTCTGTTTTTATTAACCCTCATTAAAACCCCCGACTGGAAAACAGGCAGCGCCTCAAAGGTGAAGGATCTGCTGCAGCTTTTTTCCTGCAGAATATTCCAATAAAACTACAACAAAGCGACAGAAGGACCAAAGAAAAGCTGCTCGTCTCACAACGATTGAACCGTCTGTCACAGAACCGCTTCACGGCGCCATAATGAGATTGCAGGTCTGGGAAGATAAATGAGGGTTCTGCTGCCGCGAATGGAGTGAGAAGGTGGCGGTTCCTTCATACCGGCGCTGACGCCGCTGGCTGCCTTCACTTTAGGTTTAAAGTTCGGCCGTGTCTCCCTGCGCTGGTTCAGAATGGCTCCACATGATAAAGAAATGCAGGTAGTTTGCAGACTTTACTCACCTAACGAATCCTCTGAAAAGTCAAGCCATATTCAGAAAACAAACTTCTAAAAGTACTAAATATAAAAATATCACGTACTGTTCAATCAATGATCAGTGTTTTTAATTAAGAATAATTTTAATTTGAATGTGCTTTACTGGAGGCATCCATGTTTGTCAAAGAACACTACTGCCACCTACTGGTTTGTGACGTCTCCCTCTTTACCCAGCATGCATCAGAGCAGACTTGTCTGTTCTTGAGATTGACAGCTGTCCCAGCATGCACTGCGGCAGCAGCAGCGTCCAATTTTCCAATATTCTCTTTTCTATTGCTGTTGTTCAATAAAAGTACATTTTAAGATCATTTGAGGCGAGAATATTATACTTTAAAGCTTCACTATATGGCCCATTTAATACGTAATTTAAAAAAAATAATCCGAAGTTGAGACGACTGCGGCAACCAGGGTTGAGGGTAAAGGCAGCCCGGGCCAACGTTAGCCCGTCTGCGGCGGCCGGGGCTAAGGTTGGCCCGTCTGCGGCGGCCGGGGCTAACGTTGGCCCGTCTGCGGCGGCCGGGGCTAAGGTTGGCCCGTCTGCGGCGGCCGGGGCTAACGTTGGCCCGTCTGCGGCGGCCAGGGCTAACCTCGGCCCGTCTGCGGCAAACGGGGCTAAAGTCGGCCCGTCTGCGGCGGCCGGGGCTAAAGTTGGCCCGTCTGCGGCGGCCGGGGCTAAAGTTGGCCCGTCTGCGGCGGCCGGGGCTAACGTTGGCCCGTCTGCGGCGGCCGGGGCTAACGTTGGCCCGTCTGCGGCGGCCGGGGCTAACGTTGGCCCGTCTGCGGCGGCCGGGGCTAACGTTGGCCCGTCTGCGGCGGCCGGGGCTAACGTTAGCCTGTTGGGCTAACTTTAGCAGCCCTGGCCATAAGCAGCTACATCTGAACGCCTCTGCAGCTTTAGCTGGATTCCCAAAGCTTTTCCAGTCTTTTTCTTCTCTGAAGCAAATATTTCAAAATTTTTTATCTGGATCTTGGACTTTTTCTTCTCTTAGCTTGAAGCTGCTAACCAGCTTAGCCACAATAGGCAACTTCCTTATTTCCTTTGTGCACATGCTCAGTATTATAATTATTCTTGTAAATATACAACAAATGGTGCAAAAACACAAAAATAACAATTAATACTCAAGAAGGAAGCAGTAATCTTTCAGGAAATCTTTATTTGCAGCCAGAATGATTTACTGGAGTAGAAATAAAGGAAATATCTATATGCACCTTTAGAATAAGGGTCAGATATTAGACACTGACGTCAGGTTTTCTACTGTTTCGTAGAAAAAGAAAATACAGCACAGATAAATATTAATATTTCCATCCTCTTATATAAAAGCTGAACATTTTTTTTAGGAAATTCTAAAATACTTGTATGAAAAGGTTCATGTAAATAACTTCAAGTTTTTCCATCCAGTAGTGAATGATTAAAGCAGCGGATTAACGTGGAGCAGATATGGAAGGTAAAAACACGAATGGGCGACGAGGTTTGGAGACAATATAAAATATGAATAATATGAAAACCTTTCAGTTTTGATTTTTGTAGTCCTCCTTTTATGGAGACGGTACAGTTTGCACAACTTTGATTATTAATAGTTAAGCCTTTAGGTTTGTGTCTTTTTTTTTTTTAAAGGCAGCATTTCCTTCTGCTCAGAATAATCTCTACAAACTAAAGTCCTGCTGATTTTCGTTGATTTCTCCTGATCTCAGCAGTGATGTAATGATTTTGCTTTGTTTGGATCATCCTCTCTGCGGACGTGACTTCGGCTGCAGGGATTTTCTGTTATTTTCTGGCAGCAGGCTGTTGTTTCGCTGATTAAAACTCCCTCTGCATTGGAGAGGTTCAGTGATGCGGCTTTTTCATGAACTGCTGTGAGTTCAGTTCAATTGAAAGGTAATGTGCCGTGACTGTAGCCTTTTTAAGACTCCAGAGCTAATTTCTGCTCCGGTGTGAAACGCCGGTCACCTGGGGGCGCCGTTGGAGGGCAACCTACTCTTGTTTTGTTTGGGCCGCCACTTTCAGGTTATCTGAGCTTCATCTAAAGAAAAGTTTCTGAATGAAACAAACATTTGCACCAGAGTCACATGTTTAAAATTCTTTTTGTTTTATTGTTTTTATTCTGCACCAAGCGGATCCAAACTGTAGGACTGGATGCTGTGAATTTTCTCACAGCTTCTTTGTTTCACTTTTTTTCTTGCGTAAAACAAATAATTTCAATCTTTCTCTAAATGTTGACAATCTCTGTGGTGCCAAATTTGTTTTCCTTTTTTTAAAACTTTTTATTTGAAATCTAATGTTTTTTAAATGTGGGCTCTATCGATTTGTATGCAGCTGTTTTATTTGTATTCCCAGTTTGGTTCCTCCTGTATGAATGTTTGCTTTTTTATCCATTTCTCCTTTTTTTTTTTTATTTACAAATAAAAAATAAAGTTTATCTCAATGTTGGAGGGAAGATCAGTTATTCACACCAAAAGATAAACCTTTAAGGTGAATGAAAGTGGTTGAATACAGGAAAATCAGTAAGATTTGTATCGTTAGATCAGATCTTCATCCTTAAAGATCTAGTTAGACTCCTGGGAAGCTTTGCAATCTGAGATCAGTAGAGAGTAAACCATAAACTATAACCAATAACTCTGGTGTCTCTGTAACCTGATCATGGAGAATCTAGAGTTCCTTTCAATGGCATTGTCTGGTTCTGCTGGAGGTTTCTTCCTGTTAAAAAGGAGTTTTTCCTCCCCACTGTCGCTACAAGCATGCTTAGTATGAGGCAATGCAATCAACTGGTTTTCCTTAGATGGAAAACTTTGAATCAAACTGACTGGTTGATCTGGTTGAATTGTCTCTACACTGGAAAAAATCTAAATCCACATAAGTTTTTTTTTTTTTTTTAAAGAAGTGCCTTTGTTCTTGGATTGAGGAGGCAAGAAAAGACACTTAAAATAAGAAAACATAATTGCATTGTATTATTTCAAGCGCATATTATCTAATTATCTTATTTTAAGAGGAAAAATACTCATTCCATTAGCAAACTGTCTAATTTACCTACTCAGATTAAGGGTAAATACAGTTAATTTAAGACCTTTTTACTTATTTCTAGATCTTTTTTCCAGTGTATAAAGTGCCCTGAGATGACACGTGTTGTGAATTTGCGCTGTATAAATAAAACAAACTGTAATTTGAACCAATCCAATCAGCATGACTGACTGTGTCCTCAATGAGACGCAGACATTTCAAACTGTCTCATTGGTTTAAATGTAAAAACATGGTGTATCAGTTTGGAAAGGAGGGACCAGGGCCGGACTAAGATAGGTCTAGCCTCGGGCTACTCAGCGGCGCAGCGGGTAGCGCTGCAGCCATAAGGCTCTGGGTTCGATTTCTGGCTCGGGGTCTTTCTGCATGTTCTCCCTGAGCATGTGTGGGTTCTCTCCGGGTACTCCGGGTTCCTCCCACAGTCCAAAACTGAGATACAGTGGAAAACCGGTCTAGAAATAAGTCAAAATTTCTTAAATTAAGTGTATTTACCCTTAAAGGAATAATACACCCAAAACATGATTAGCCTTCATTTTCTACTCCCCCCCATGCTGAACAACACTCTGGAGTACTTTTTTGATATCTCAAATGCATCTGGAGATCTGGGAGGCTTCTTGCTGTCTGCTGACATTCAAATAATGGAGGTCTATGGCGCCCGAGGCAGAAAGGTCCATAAAAGTCCACAAAAAACGTGTCAATATTCCTCCATACTGCTCGTCCAATGTATTCCAAGTGTCCTGAGTGGGTAGCGTCCAGAATTTACTCGAAACGAAGTCATTTAGAATGTTTTTAGAGCATAAACAGTAGTGTATAGGATTTCCTAAAAGAGCGTTCATGAGTCTACGGAAACCGCGGCAGACCAAGCCAGATGAAAGTGCGCATTCAGCGTCTGCTCTGCCGATAATGCAAGCGTAGAAGAAGAAATGTGCTGTTTACCTGTGCAAAGAAAGAAACAACGAAAGAAAAATGTCTGAGGACTTCAGTGTTGAGGAAGAGCATGAGTTCTTTGCCGAGCTGAATGCGCTGGTTTGGTCTGCCGGCTTCCGTAGCGTCGTGATCGCGCATGTGCGCGCTTTCAGGAAATCCTATACACTACTGTTTATGCTCTAAAAACATTCTAAATGACTTTGTTTCGAGTAAATTCTGGACGCTACCCACTCAGGACACTTGGAATACATTGGACGAGCAGTATGGAGGAATATTGACACGTTTTTTGTGGACTTTTATGGACCTTTCTGTCTCGGGCGCCATGGACCTCCATTATTTGAATGTCAGCAGACAGCAAGAAGC